ATGTGTGCAAGTCGAAATTTGCAGTTGGGTTCCCTTTGGGGGGGGGGGGGGGGGGTAGATCGACTGTGCAAAGAGAAAATGGTTCTGAAGGGAACCTTGAAACTTGCATACCCCTCAAAAATGGCCGAAAAATCAATTCATTTAAGGGTCTATAAACCAGTCACGCCACAGAGTAAACGAAAAAGCTACGAACAAAAACTCCATCAAGCCAACATTGCCTCAAATTAGAAGAGTACTTGAAGCAGTACCGCTTAGCGATGCCAGCGTTTCAGAAGACGAGGTCCATCACCCCTGGCGCCCCAAATGATCATCTTGAAAATAGACAATTTACAAAAAAAATAATAATAATTCACGGTTCGCGTGAGACTCGGCCAAAGGCCCAGTTTTCCGCATCCGCAGGAACGCCACCACCCTCTTGGATCAAGGCGCAGATGCAGCTCCTAAGCGGTGGGAGGTGAGTAGATCAGACCCACCACAAAGTGACAATTTACAAGCGCTGATAAAATAGCTAGCTACGTCCTCGATTAGCAAACACTCTACACCGACAGCTAATAGAATACATCTATTAACACTGAAGACATGTCCCCCATCTTCATTTTGGAGGTTTCTTGAAATAATGTTTTTGAATTTTTCCACTCGGCCATGCTGAGGCCCGGCCAAACTTATACCTGCGCAGGAAAGCTCGCCCTTCCGCGACGTCTCCTAGGCAATTTCTACTCCAACACTATTCCCAACGCTGAAGAACAAAGTGTATTGTTGACTCTGACAAGGAACAGCAGGGTTGGTAACTTGTCACCCCAAACCACACGCTTCTCCTTGCGCCACCGACGATTTTGGTGCGACAAATGATGCAACAGTCCCTGAAGGCCTAGTTGCAGTTTTTGAATTTTATTCCAAGATGAACGATGGCCACACACGAACGAAAACTGGCAAAATGGAACGCAGTTATAGTTGGATATGATTGAGTGGTTGAGAATAGCATATCTATAGGTATTCAGGAAAAGTGTGTTGCTCCCTACATGGGAGCTCGCGGTTTTCATGCCGACTTGAATTCTCACTTGACTGACTCACGAGTGCCATCCAGAGCACGCGAGAATTCCATCGAACTGTCCACTCGGCAAACCTGCGACAAAGCACCACACCCTGTTCCGAGCGCAGCCACCTTCAGTTCTGTGCCCTGCTAAAAGCGCATCATGGCTCCGTTTAAATGCTTTTCGGCTAGTGTGTTTCTGTGGTATAGCGGACTGAAGAATAGTAAACGTGTTTTGCAATATACTTCATATAATATAATATAATATAATAATATAATAGTACAAGTATGTATGAAGCTATTTTGTATATAGTATGTTCCCATTCCGTTTTTGCTTTGGTGTAGCCCTGAGGTTGATTGCTTATATATTTCTACCCTTCCTCTCTCCATACTTCTGTCCCCCCCCCCTCTCTCTACTCCTTCTGTCGTCCACATGTATCAAAGGAGACGAAATCGCCTGTTTGTGGTGCGACGTTAAATAGACTTCTGCAACAACACAACAACAACAAACAACAACACCTGCTCAATACACAGTGTTTCGTTGAATTAACTCCTCATCAGTTGAGCTTGAGTAGGCTGAGGAATATTTTACCTGAAGGGCACCACTTATGGTATATTGCTCTCCAGATACAAATATCACCAGGGATACAAACTTACATTGACGCTCCGTTTCCAGCGGGACAAACACCTCGTGAACACCAGATAGCGGCGTGAGTCAGTGTCGCTCGTGGAAGTGCTGAACAAGCGCTGAGGACCATCGGCCATTCACAACGTTGTTGCCTCCAAAACATTTAATTCGCAAGACCACGCTGGGTACAACAATGTGAAGAAGAGGTTCGGCGATATTTGGGGAATTGTGTGTTCCTCATGTTGATAGGCAACCTGTGTAGATCTGGGATCACGCACACATATATAGAGAGAAGAGAACATTGCCCTTCTGTGAATCTCTGCAATACGTGTATTGCATCAATGCCCTCTTGGTCATTGAATGATCCTCTAGAATCACCTATCTTTGAACCGTACATTCAATTTGAATCGCACGATATTTCCTGAAGTAAAGTGCACTGCGGATATACATGTATAACTATTAAGGTTTTGTACCTGAGATCTATGGGTTTCAATAAGAGATATTATACCTCATTCCATATTCACCCACATACAATTGGCCATCTACATAAGTGGTGAATATTGCTGAATATTCACCACTTGTATTCACCACTGACCTCACATTCACCACTTATATTCACCAATTATATTCACCACTTCTCGACTTGCTGTACGTGTGTGTAAGTGTAAAGAGAGCAGTACTCAGTGCTGCGCTTGATTCCTCTTCAGTCAGCGCACCGGAGCTGCAGAGTGCCCTAGAAAATTTCTACGCTAACTTCCGTAAACAGGACTTTTCTGAGAACAAACGAAATTCCTTGCTTGCCATTGCCGCTGGATCCGCATGTGACCAGGTGCTTGCAAGTCATCAACCAACAGTGAGCATCTTTACAGACGGAGCGTTCCAGCGAGCAAACAAGATTTTGAACGCTCAACATGTCAATGGCCCGATGATTGCGGATCAAGCGGCAAGCCAGGAATTTCGTTTGTACTCAGAACAGCCCTATTCACGTTAGCGTAGAATTTTCCTACGGCACACAACGCCTCCGAAGCGCAGCCTGAAAAGAAAAGAATTGAGGGTAGAACCGCTTGGCTCGCTGCTTATAAACGGACTCCTGAATTGGCGCGATGATCGCGGATTGGTCAAATCTTCGCGTGAAACGGAACCTCTCTCGGATTGGTCAAATCTTCGCGTGAAACGAAACCTCTCTAATGATTGGCTTCCGCCACAAAGCTGCACGAGCGTGTTCTCCATGGTGATTGGCACGAGCGTGTTCACCATGGTGATTGGCACGAGCGTGTTCTCCATGGTGATTGGCACGAGCGTGTTCACCATGGTGATTGGCACGAGCGTGTTCACCATGGTGATTGGCACGAGCGTGTTCACCATGGTGATTGGCACGAGCGTGTTCTCCAAGGTCGTCACATTCCATGCCACATGCACCAGTACGTGTGCACGATCGATTGAACAAGATTCTGGACACGCCGCCCTCGGATTCAGGCAAGAACACGCCAGTTTGTTCACGATACTGAAGCAACAACGACTTACGTTAGTTCTGCGTACATGTACATGTATGACCAACAGGACTGGTTTGTTGGGTTTTAGGAACGAGAGGGTGAATATGGAGAGGTATAAGTCTAATATTACTTTCAGCCTCGTGAATATGGGCGAATATTCACTAGTTATGCAAACCTCGGCTTCGCCTCGGTTTGTATACGTATAGGATATTGACCAAGACGAGGTCTATATGGGAAATATAGGCCGAGTAAAAGACCGAGGTCCGCCGAGGTCTTTTACGAGGCCTATATTTCCCATATAGACTGAAGTCGAGGTCAATATCCTATTTATCACGATTCCTTTGCCATAACCCCAAAATTTGAACCTTTAGGAGCTATTTTAACATTTTTAGTATAGCATTTGTAATAGTGTACATAGGATGTTGCCTATTTTGGGTACAAGACTGTAAGAACAACAGAGTTCAGTATCTGCAGCACAGTGGCTGGGTGGTATATGGGGTTGCTTGAGATTCACACTGTTGTGAGTTCAAATCCTGCTTGTTCTCTTCCTTTGTCTTCTTTCTTTCAATTTTTCTTTTTGAAGTGGAGAGAAAAAGTCTAAAGGCCGATTCACAATACAACTTTCTGCGACGCGACATGCGACTTGCGACACATGCGACGAGCTGCGACAGCGACACACGGTTCACAATATTCTTCATGTTTGCGACATCCTCATGCACAAGTAGTACTATGCACGTGCACTGCACGTGCACCCAGGGTCGAAACTGTACTCCATTTGTGTATGTCGCGTGTCGCATGTCGCAAAAGTTGAACTTTCTTCAACTTCTG